GAGAGAGAGAGAGAGAGAGAGAGAGAGAGAGAGAATCTACAATGATGTGCTTACATTCTGATTTTAGTATAAATAGGGTGAAGGAAATTATATATCTCCCACATGTTCTTTCAGATAACATCCTTTGGATAAATGGATAAATGTAGTTTAATACAATTTAAAACTTTTAGAAAACTAAATAATGAGAACGACTCACATTATAAAAATATACCACAAAGCGTGAAACAATTTGGAGAGAAAAATTACAAATTTTGAGTTTCTTTACAATAAGCTTTTTATCTTTCACACTGGGTTGCATATTTTATGGTTTACTGGGTTGCATATTTTATGGTTTCAGATGTGATGATCTGTGATCTCAGGTACTGATAAAGACCAGAAAAGAGTTCTATCTTCCAGCCAAAAAGCTTATCATTCTCTATGAATCTTTGCTCTTTTATTATTTTGGGTGCTATCATCCTCAAACAATGCAGATAGAAAGTACAAAAGAGAACCAACAAAAACCTGTTCAATTTCAGGTAGTAGAGCTTCATTGCTATGCCATGGTCCCACGCAGGCATCTAATTAAAGATAAAAAGAAAACACACTGTGATGTCATTAATCTGCCACAAGCGTACATTGTGGTTCAGAGTGGTTATTTAATAGCATGTATGCTACAAAAGGGACAAGGAACTAGATAAATGTTTGCATCGTAGGTCTTTAGCAAAGAAGATAAGAAAATGAGTGGAAACAACATGGAGTATTATTCAATGTGTAGCTATACATTTTATTGATCCAAAATTATTTAACAATATGTTTTAATGGAGCAATCATTGTTCAATAGTATATTTGTTCAAAACTCATGAATCTATGCTGTGTTCCTGAATTCAAACCACTGAATATCACTTAACAAGAAGCAGTTAAATTCTGTGTTTTTGTGTAAAAATTACAGGAAGTTGATTATATTTAGCTCACTATATACCAATTTTAAGTATTTGAACTGAAACAATTTGATAAAGTCCTTGGATACAGACATAAGAGAAATCATGAAAACTAAATAAAATTTACATATGAGAACTATTAGCATACTAGGCACTAAATTGTCTTTTTTTCAGATCTTGATGAAACAAAATTGCTACTTCAAACTCCTCTTCAGCACTTGTTGGCCTTCCTTCATAACAAAATGTGATTTTCACAGGCTTGGATCTGGTCTCTTCTCCCCTTACAGTTTACATTCATGCCACATGTAATTTTCTGATTCTTACACAATAAAGTCAATGAACTGCAAGCGAATGCCATGAGGTGAGTTTATAGAGATGCCCAAGGATCACAGAACCCTTGACATCATGTGGTAAATTTAGTGTGAATTTGGGAACACAGTTCACCCCCAGAGATCACAGTGAGCCATAATCTGACGTGGTCCATAATCTGATACTGATAAAGAACTGCTACAGTAGGAAGACACCAAACCTTTCACCTAAGTCACTGGGACCAGAGAAAGTCTAAGCCAGAACACAAAGTGGCTCTTGGGACCATTAAGAAAATGTGTTCAAATAAAAGTCTAAAGTATCACAATGGCACAGGCACGCTGTACAGGATCACAACTGCAGACAGAGACGCATCACAAAATTACAAGACTTAATGGTCTAGACATGCATGACCAGTCTCACACATGATCTGTCTAAAAGGTTTGTGAATACACACACACACACACACACACACACACACACACACACACACTACACCAGGATGTTTTAAGATTTCAAGTTCTTGGGCCTGGAGAGGTGGTCCAGCAGTTAAGAGCACTGACTGTTCTTGCAGAAGACCTGGTTTTGAATCCCAGCACCCACATGGCAGCTATCAACCTTCTGTAGCTCCAATTCCAGGGTATCCAAGACCCTCTTCCATCCTCCACAGGCACTGCACAACACAGGTGCACTAACACACATACAGGCAATACACTCATACACATAAATAAATAAATAAATAAATAAATAAATAAATAAATAAATACATAATAAGATTTAAAGTTCTTACATATAAAAAAGTTTTATTATTCAATCAAAGTCTGAAAATATAATATAGTTTTTCCCTGAAGCAAACAGTATTTAGGAGATAGCTCCATCAGCAAAGCGTTTACTGTACAAGCATAAGGACCTGAGTTCAATTCCCAAAACCATCTAAAGGACTAGGCATGGCAGTGCACACTTGTAGTCCATGTGCTGGGGAGGCAGAGGCAGGAAGACCCTTGGGACTCACTGGCCAGTAATCCTAGCCTAATTAGTGATCTCCTGAACAGTGGGAAGATTCCCGTCTCAAAGGAAATAGATGGCATTCCTGAACATAATACCTGAGGCTATACTTTGACATCTGCAACAACACACACATGCACCCATGCACACACACAAACATGCACACGAATATTAAAAAGGAAAATTAGCTGGTCACTTGGATGATCAGTCCACATTTTTTTTATTTTAATTAAAAGAAGCATTTCATTACAACAGCATTAACCTATTCAATAACATTTTTCTGAGCTAGGGTACATCTCTTTCAAAATTGGCTGTACATTTCTAGGTTTACAGATGAATTATTACGCTGATATAATCTTTTACTCATTATAAACTCTATAAGACATAAAATTAAATGAGGTTCCAACGTTTAAAAAAGATCTCCACTGCATTGTAAAAACACACAGTTTCATACAGAAAAATTCATTCCAAGCCTATTGACATTGAGACGTTTTCACATACATTTCTAATCTCTATACACATGACTATCACCGGTCACAGTCGCCCACCTTCTGAGCTCCTCGGCATCTGAGCATGAATACAAACT